AGAAGGAGCAATACGGATCCTGAATTTTTCAGACAAATATCTTCCTCCTTCGTCAATTAAGGCTGCAAATGGCACTTGGTACATGCAGCTATCAGGGACAATGATAATTTCAGGCTCTTTCAATAAATCGGCCACGGGAGCGATGATTGTTTCGTAGCACAAATGAATAATTTTTTTCATATCATCACCTTTAGTGTGTGCCAAAGGCGATCGGTTGACATCGTCAGATGATGTTGGAACACGTTCGTCATTTAAAGACCGATCTTCACAAACCTCTTTGGGTAAAACAGCAAAGTGGCGGAAACTCTGCGAAAACAGTGCTTTCAAGTTGGGAACTGACCCGGAGTCCTTTCTTTTTGTTCGGAAACGAATCTCTCCACTTGGTTGAAGAATCCAAATCCGTACATCTTCATCGCCAACCGAAAGGTAAAGACAATTACAACTGGCCTCTCCTTTTATAATATCATGGATTCCACACAATGATCGCGGATCGCTTGAAAACTGAAACTCTTTGACCGAATATTGAGATGTCATCAAGTCCGCTAGAGCTCTTGCCCGTCTATGTTCTTCAACGCAAAGAGCATCTGTGAAATCTTCGCTAAAACAAAGCAATTTACTGAGCACCTCGTAGGGAAAGGCGCCATGCTCCTCTAACAAAGATATTTGGAAGCGATCGTTGCCTTTTAGAAAGTTTCGCACTTTTTCAAATTTTGCAATAGATTGAGAAAGATACGAAGAAGCTTCTTCGACTTTAAACTGCACTAACTTCAAAACTGCTAGACCACAAAAGACTTTAAACTCCGTCATACTATCTCCAATGCCTTTGCAAATTAAGAGAGCTTCGCGAAAACATACTTCGCCTTTCTCAAGTTCACCTAGGGAATGAAACAATGTTCCTAAGTTTGCGTAGTCAGCTGCTTCTCCTTTTCTGTCGCCAATTTCCTTTCTGATTAGAAGTGCTCTCTCGGTGTATTCTTGGGACTTCTTGTAGGCACCAAGCGACTTAAAGAGTGTTCCTAAGTTTCCATAGTCAGTAGCTTCTCCTTGTCTGTCGCCAATTTCGTTTCTGATTGCTAGTGCTTTCTCGGTGTACTCTTGCGACTTTTTGTACCACGCGACTGTACTCTTGCGACTTTTTGCACCACGCGACTGAACCAATGTTCCTAAGTTTCCGTAGGCAGCTGCTTCTCCTTTTCTGTCGCCAATTTCCTTGCTGATTGCCAGTGCTTTCTTCGTGTATTCTTCGGACATTTTGTATTCACCAAGCGACTGAAATAATGTTCCTAAGTTTCCGTAGGCAGCTGCTTCTCCTTTTCGGTCGCCAATTTCCTTTTTGATTGCCAGTGCTTTCTCGGTGTATTCTTGCGACTTTTTGTATTCACCAAGCGACTGAAACAATGTTCCTAAGTTTCCGTAGCCAGCTGCTTCTCCTTTTCTGTCACCAATTTCCTCTCTGATTTTAAGTGCTTTCTCGGTGTATTCTTGAGACTTTTTGTATTCACCTAGGGAATGAAACAATGTTCCTAAGTTTCCGTAGTCAGCTGCTTCGCCCTTTCTGTCGCCAATTTCCTCTCTGATTTTAAGTGCTTTCTCGGTGTATTCTTGAGACTTTTTGTATTCACCTAGGGAATGAAACAATGTTCCTAAGTTTCCGTAGTCAGCTGCTTCTCCCTNTCAGTCGACGAAGAGGGAATCTGTCGCCAATTTCCTCTCTGATTTTAAGTGCTTTCTCGGTGTATTCTTGAGACTTTTTGTATTCACCTAGGGAATGAAACAATGTTCCTAAGTTTCCGTAGTCAGCTGCTTCTCCTTTTCTGTCGCCAATTTCCTTTCTGATTGCCAGTGCTTTCTCGGTGTATTCTTGCGACTTTTTGTATTCACCAAGCGACTCAAACAATGTTCCTAAGTTTCCGTTGTCAGTTGCTTCTCCTTTTCTGTCGCCAATTTCCTTTCTTATTGGTAGCGCTTTCTGGTAATATTCCTCAGCTCTGTCGTACTCCCCAAGCGACTGAACGATTCTACCTAGGTTTTCGTAAATGGTGGCTTCGCTATCTCTGTCGCCATTTGACACAGTGATTGTCAGTGCTTTCTTGTAATACTCCTCAGTTTTGTGATATTCACACAGTGAATTAAATAATTTTCCTATCATCATGTAACATAGCGCCTCTGTTTGTTTGTCTCCAATACTCCTTGATAAGATAAGAAGTTCCTTCGCATATCTTTCTGCAGATGTGAAATTGGAGACCTTGTATGCTGCATCAAACAGTAGCAAATATATTGCTTGGTAAAACCAGTGGTATTCTTTTATCCGTGCTTTGGAGGTTAGAAAAATCAAACATTCTTTGCCTAACTTCATGGCTTCTAAGCCACGACCAGTGTTAAGAAGGAAGGCAACAACAAGTGTAACTATACCGGATACTGTTATAAATCCTCCTTCGTTGTCCATGACGACCGTTTTCCAAATTACACGAGTCAATTCAATGAGACAGCATCAATCTGAGGATTTAATTCAACTGGGTTAGATCCGTCGTTTGCAGCCGCTAGATCAAATATTTTTACTCACTCTCAAGAAATGTGTTGAATCTGAAGGTAGGTAATCACAACACTTTCCAACAATCTCAATAGGTTAGTTGGTCAGACGTGTTTTGTTTTGCTTGCCGTCTTTAAATAAATAAGTAAATTCGTCTTTATTAAAAAACCATCCGATAAAATTACATATCTGATGTTACCGTAAAAATATATATTGATGAGAGAAATTACAATGATTAAATCGAATAAAATTATTAAAAATGATTAGAAATACATATGGGGTGTTAACACAGCTAGACTATATTTAAAAATTAATCTATTAAAAAAGCTACGTTTAAAACGTTCAGTATCAATGCTGGACCTGACAATGGATTTCCTTCGAATGTTTACAATATAGTCTTTGTACCTTGGGAGTAGGCTTTTTAATGGATGGTCATCATGTTTGAGGTTATAAAAAAGGCGTCTGTCGCTTTTCTCCAAAAGTTCATATCTGTTGTAATTGACCGACGTATAGCGCCTCTTATAGCATCTTTTTAAAAACCTTTGTATAACAGCAAGGTCGGAAACTGTTGCNAAGAGAGCTTTGCACACATTTTAACAGTTTTTACTACTCATATCAAAGTAAGACAATTATCACAGGTTTATTAAATTTGATCAGCAAAAACTTTACAATTTCCTTTTGAAAAGTGTGCTGCCAAACTCAGTAGCATCTTTTCTGCTCTTTACAATTGAATTTTTTCCTTTTTATCACTTCCTTAGAAATTTTGACAAAATGCAGGGCAGCCATTTTAAATGTGGCACCCCTGCCATAAATCACTTTGTGTAGGGTGATTATAGGAAGATATGATGTGATCCTCTGCCAATCAGAGCACCCCTTTCTATAGAAACCTGAGCAATTATACTGAATATTTACATCACAATCTCACAAGTTTGGCATGATTTTTGCACCTGTAAGTTAAATAATTTCATCACTAGCCAGCTTACAGCGCACACTCGCTAGCTCTCATAGATGTAACAAAAACCTTTTACCATAACAGCCTTGTATCGACTGACACCCTTCTAAAAATACTTATGACAAAAAAAATCCTGAATTAGTCAAAGAAGAGACATGTCTTTTGTAAATGATCACACTTTCTTGGGAGATAAGATTGTGTCAGAACTTTTTGGGGTGTCTTTGGAGTTTGGGAATTTTCGAAATGTCCTTGGAGCTGGTGTAGGGTTGTCAGATTTTCTTTGAAAAATTTTCTGGATATTAAGAACATGGCTGACTGAACCTGCTCCCTTTACCAATTTATGGTCACTCATATAAATAAATGTATTGCATTCAAAACAGGGCAAAAGATCAAGATATTCAAGAGGAAACCTAAAAAGCACTTTGTGGTGTGTGCTTGTCATTGAATATTGCAAACATGGATGAGGAGAAGAATGAATGGCTGGCTCAGTACTATTCTCCAAGCAAATGGAACAACAGTATGGACCCAGGAGGGGTAGTAGATTATCATGTGAACATTTGTACTGGCTACAGCGAAACCACTCGTAAAAGCTCTCACTGCAAACTGAGTATCTGTTATGGTGAAAAGAAAGCTAAGATGGATATATTTTACCCTGCTGAAGAGAATGATGACACAGCTGAATCTGTACATGAAAAGAGTGGCAGCTCTGCAGCAGTGGTGCTCTTTGTTCATGGCGGGTATTGGCAAGAAGGGAGTAGGAAGATTTACAGCTTTGTTAGTGAATCATGGACTAAATATGGTTGCGTTGCAGCAGTGGTCGGTTATAACCTTGCACCAGAAGCCAGCTTGGATCAGATGGTTGGAGAAAAACAGTCAGCAGTGAAATATATCAATACCAGGTTTCCAAAATCCAGACTATTTTTATGCGGCCACTCAGCTGGCGCACGTTTGTGTGCCATGATGATGGTGTCAGACTGGAGCAAGGATCCATCAATTCCACAAGCCATTCATGGTATGTTCTTATTATCAGGAGTTTTTGATTTGGTACCTATTGTAAGCACTTATGTCAATGATGCATTAAAACTGACTGAAGAATCTGCTGCACAAGTCAGTCCTCAAAAACTTCTGACAAAGATGTCACCAACGTTTGTTTGCCCTATTTTGGTTGTAATGGAAGAGTACGGATCCCCAGAGTTTTTTCGACAAGCTAAAGAATTTGTTGAAATCTTAAAAAGTCATAAGGTTCAGTGTTGTTTGCTTCAGCTACCAGGGGTAGATCACTTCAGCATGATTGAAAACATGGTGAATAGTGATGATCTACTCTGCCAGGAGATTTTGAAAGTTATCAGAAACATCAACTCAGCAAAGAGTGAAAAAGGAGTCAAAATTCCAAACTCAGGTCTTTGATTTGACTTTGTGAATGTTTTATGTGTTTACCCTAATGTTATTAAAAGGTTAAGTGCATAGTCATGCTGTGGTTTTAAAAGTTTTTTTCAGTTTTCAACTTGAGTATTACCTTGATTGATTAGGGTTTTACTAAGGATTCTGAGAGCAGGATCTCTGAGAGAAAATGTAAATTTTTTGCTGTTTTCTTTTTCACACATTCAAGAAACCTGTTATGATAATTTAGAAAATATTGTATAATCAGAAACTAATATCAAAATTACCTTGAAAACTGGTTTTGTCTGGAACATTTTAAAGTTGTTCTTTGTAGTAATTATACTTAGAGTGAAAACATCTCTATTTTTAATGCCTTTGAAACAACGATGCAGGGCAGGTTATTTACACAAGGTCTCACCCAAACTACAGTTTTACAAAAGCAGAGAGCCTCAGGGATTCTCTATAAGAGAGTTTAATATCCTTCACTGTTAGCTTTTGGCCTTATTGGCACTGTTCACAAAATTAATGTTAAAGTTCAGATAAAAGGTTC